TGTCATTGTAAGGCCGCTGTTGATGATCTTGTTTCTGCTAAGGTGGCTGTTGCTGATCATGGTGCGGCTGATGTGATTGTTGCTGCAGCTGATGCGTATCGTTGTTGTTGCTAATGTATTGCTGTTCGGCCTATTCCCACTGGGGTCTGGGTTGATGATCAAACGTATTACTATATGCATGGTTCCTCTCAGTGATTTCTTGATTAATTTGAGGCTGGACAGAGGGGCCTACATATTGGCTTTGTGGGGGATGATGGGTGTTTTCATGTAAGTGAGCCACCAGATGTTGTCGCTGATATATATGTTGCGGTAGCAGTTGATGTTTCTGTTGTGGTTTTGGCTGGTATGATTGTTGCTGTGACTGATGTGTCTCGTTATAGGAATTTTGGTGATGACTTTGTTGTTGTTCCGTCTGATATATGAGTCGTTAGTCAAGCGTGTCATCATATGCATAGTTCCACTCGTTGCTTCTTTGATCGGTTTGATTAATATGAGCTGAGGGAGCAACATGTGGGCTTTGTTGGCTCTGCGGGGGATGGTTAATATTGAAATGTAAATTAGCCATTTGTTGCTGTCTCTGATAATGAGGAAAGTTTTCATTTTCTACTTGTAGTACTCCGATTACTGTTAGTAAGCTACTGCGTTCATTGTTAAGCTCCTTCAGCTTCGTATCCAAGTCGGATATCAAACATGATTGATTTTTTATTTTTTCATTCAAATGTGAGACCTCTTCCTTGAGTAATATATTTTCATTTAAAGTACGAGAAGATCTAATTTCAAATGATAATTCAGTGATCGATCTAAGTTCACGCAGATCACCCGGCCCGACATAATATCAAATAATTTCTCCATTCTAGCCTCCAGCCGACAAACATACTTCAACAGATCTGCATTTGAAGTATTGGCAGTGTCGGTTTGGGGCATCATTTGCGAACAATTTTCGGTCATTATTTCTTGATTATTGTGTAGAGTTTGCGGCTCCATATTAGGCGTTTGTGAATGGTCAATTATATAATTTACTTCGTCAGTATGGCTGACGTGTTTATTATTTTTCTGTTTGATTGTCCCGGTCAATATACCCTCGTCGAAAGTAAAAATATCTTGAGACTGCTCGCGTATAGAGACATCGTACATATTTTGTGACTCTTCCGATTTTTCTGGCTCACACGAGTTATCATCGGCGATAATATTTGACTCTGAATTCGGATGCATGGTCGAGAGCTTTTTGATCAAAATGTTTGTAAATGACTCACCTTTCTAGCCTTGAATTAAGAGAGAAGCAGAGTTGGTGTAATACCTGATTATAATTGATCCTGTGGTCTTATTAAATAACTTTAAGTTGCCTCCGGGTGACGACCATTTCCCGTTTATTTTTAGAGTTTTCTTGTCAAAGAGCTCTCCTCCTCTCATAGCTCTCCTTCCATTTTAGCTTTCTATTCTCATCAATAATGATATCTTTACCATTACTGTCGTCGATTTGTAGTGTTTTCAGATTACTTAGGCAATCATTTGTTGAATAACAAGTGCTTACATCGGTACTCGCATCAGACATGTTGACCGCCATGTTGATACGATGGAAAAGGTTGATTCTGTGTATCTCTCTCAATCCGCATCTGCCCAAGTTTTCATCGATTCAGTGTATCTCTCTCAATCCGCATCTGCCCAAATTAATATGAATGCGAATCAATGCGAATAACGAATGCGAATAACGACGGAATGCGAATAACGAATCAAATACGATTAACGAGTCAAATACGAATAACGAATGCGAATGCCAATAACAAATCAATGCGAATAGCGAATGCGAATCACGAATCAAAACGACGGGATGCGAAGAAGGCATGCGAATAACGAATCAAACGACGGAATGCGAATAACGAATGGGAATAACGAATCAATGCGTAAACAAATGCGAATGCAAATAACGGCAAATCAAACGATCGACTGCGAATAACGAATCAATACTAACCGACGTAATGCGAATATAACATTGGACGCGAATAACTGCGAAGCCGAAGACATGCGAATAACGAACTGATCACTGCGAAACCGACATAATGGGAATATAACATGAAGGCGAACACTCGAAGAAAGAAGACAGGCGAAAACAAAAACGAACCACGGCAAAGAAGGAAGACATACTGATAGTGATAAACTTTATTTAACCACGCTAACATTGTCAGCAGAAGCTGGTTTCCACAATGGGCGTGTAAAAAACATTAACAAATTGTTACAAGTAAAATAATAAGGAAGTATTAACATGCAGAATATAAAATTATTAAAATATATACAAAAAGTTTGCTATTTACAATGATGTGGTTTTCTTTATAAGCTATATAGGTAGCGATTTTTCTTTTAAAACTTGAGAGCGAATTACTTTCTCTTATATTTTTTGGAAGAGAGTTCCATATGGAAGCTCCATCATACATGAAACTCTTTTTCATATTGTTTGTGTTTGGCTTGGGCAAACGTATGGTACTTGAGCTGTTACGAAGACTGCGGTTTAATATTTCTTTTTTGAAAGTAAATAATTCTTTGAGACAATTTGGCCCCATGTTATTTAACGTTTTAAACATTATTTTTGCCTTTGCTTTCACTCTTTGTTCCTTGAGTGGTTCCCATCCTAATATATTTAGCACAGTTTGTTGATCTACCTCATTAGGCACACATGCTATTACACGAGCAGCTCTGTTATGAAGTTTTTGGAGACGCGTGGATTGCGTTTCACCAAATATATTCCAAACTTCACAACAGTAGCTAAAGTATGGTTGAATTATAGCATTGTATACGCAAACGAGTGTTTTTTGATCAACATATTCTTTAATGCTTTTAAGAGCGTATATTCCAGATGATATCTTTTTACATATATTATCTGTATTGCTCTTCCAACATAAATTTTCATCAACAGTCACACCTAGTGTTTTACATTGAAAAACCTGCTTTATGGGTATGTTTTGAATGTGAATTTTAAGTTGCTGAACAGAAGCTTTCTTCAGCATCTGTTTAGTAGCAATAATTTGAAATTCAGTTTTCGCCACATTCAAGCTCAGTTTGTTTGCCATGAGCCATTTACGAAGCATTTCTAAATCTGAGTTTACTGCATCTTCAAGATCACTTAAGCATTCTCCAGCTGCTGTGATATTTGTATCATCAGCAAACAACCGTGGTTTTGTTTTACTCAGACATGCAGGTAGATCATTAATATAGAGTAAGAAGAATAGTGGCCCCAATATAGACCCCTGGGGTACACCACATTTGACGTCGTTTTCCCCTGAAATAGATCCATTGACTTCACATCTTTGAGTACGACCAGTTAAGTATGATTTTAGTAATAGAAATGCACTTCCTGTGATTCCAACTAGTTTTAGTTTTTGCAATAAGATCTCATGGTCAACAGTATCAAAGGCTTTTTTTAAGTCTACAAATACAACCAAATTAAAAAGTTTTCTATCCATGTTTATGTACCAATCATTTGTGCAATCAAGTAAAGCTGTTGCAGTTGAATGAAATTTTCTGAAACCAAATTGATGACATGCGACTAGCTATAGTGATTCATTTATATTATACACAGAGGAGTCAGTGGACAAGTTTATAAATGATCGAGGTTAGAGTTATCGAGATTTACACAAGATTCGTAAGTATTTAATGCGACTTACTGCGAAGAACGAAGACACAAGCGAATAACGAATTGCGCAACCGACGTAATGCGAATATAATATGAATGCGAATCAATGCGAATAACGAATGCGAATAACGAATCAACGCGAATAACGACGGAAGGCGAATAACGAATAAATACGGCTAACGAATCAAATACGAATAACGAATGCGAATGACAAATCAATGCGAATAGCGAATGCGAATCACGAATCAAAACGACTGAATGCGAATAACGAATGGGAATAACGAAGCAATGCGAAAACAAATGCGAATGCGAATAACGGCGAATCAAACGTCCGACGGCGAATAACGAATCAAAACGAAACCGACGTAACGCGAATGTAACATTAGACGCGAATAACAGCGAAGACGAAGACATGCGAATAACGAAGCAATGCGAAACCGACGTAATTAATGCGAATATAACATTAATCGAATCATTGCGAAGAACAAAGGATATGGGAATCACGAATCAATGTGAAACTGCACGTACTGGGGATATAACAGTAATGCGAATCATTGTGAAAAACGAGGACATGTGATGTATGTATGGATGTATGGATGTACCAAATCTAAGTACATCAGGCCTACTCTGGGACTTAAAGTCGCCTAAATTCGCCTTAAGTCGCCTAAAGTCACACAAAATCGCCCAAAATCAGTTCATGAACATGCATAATTTTAAACGTGTTTTCACTTCAAAAACATATTTCTAACTTCAAAATTGTAACTTGCACTGCTGCAAGTTATTGATAGGCATTTTAGCTCATTATTACACAAGGCTTAATGAAATGCGATTCAAATAAAATAATAAGTAAAAAGCACATTTTCAAAGAAGCATTTCAGTCAGTTGTTGCTAATGCAATTAGAAGAAATCTAGATACATGTGTGCGAAATCTCCCTAAAACTTAATATACAACAATAAAATTGTATAGGTGGTGTTTCCACATGCAAAGATATCGTCTATTGCCATTTCTTACAACTGCAAATCTTTCAATCAAAGAGAAATCCAAAGTATAAATTAGCATTTTTAAAATTGTTGTCAAATTCGAATTTGTTAAAGATCAACATATAGCTCTTTATCCGGATCTCTGGTAATGCACAGTCATTATTTAATATCCAAATTATTATATCGGTCAACAGTTTGAACTGTGAAGCTGCAGTATTTTAAAATTACACTTACTGCTGTACATCGAACTGTCCCAGCGTCGCGCGATTTTCAACTTTGATGTGAATGCCACAACAACAAGCTTGATTAAAACAATTCCAGTGTTTAGTATAATAATAATAATAATAATAATAGTTTATTAGGACTCTCTTGCAGTTACAGAAACAACTGAACTAACGAGTACTTCACAATAGATAAGAATATGTTACATGAATATAATAGAAATAATAGTACATGGATATGCTTTAGAATCTAGGCTATTTACAAGAGTTAAAATCATTAGGCATTTACCAAAATAGTAAATAGTGCATGCATAATTATTTACAATTTTCATATATATTAAAAAAAAAAATCTTAACATATTAAGAGTATTTAAAT